ATAGAAGTTTAAGATAAAGAATTGTTAGCAACTTTTATATAAAATATGCACATGATTTATCAAGCACTCGGGAACATTGAATCAAGACAAGATTTACGACTACCATTGATTTTCTTTATTATGATATCAAAACAGTCCCATAGTATTATCCTAAAATAAAAGCATGTGTTGAACCGTTATTCTACAAAGCAGGCTTGATTTGACCTTTTTATGTTATGTTGTTCGAATTTGTCTAAATGGAAATTGTATGCAACTTTGTGTTCATATTACGGACAGGGTAATGTAGCTAACTGTTAGAAAAAAAACTTGTAAATCAAAACTAAAATAGAGTTCATGCTTGATACCACTTTTTGTTTTCTCGATATCTACTGAAATGTTAAAAAACAAATTCTCAAAAAATAATAAATATCATTCAAAAAGGTGGTAAGCAAAAAAATATAAGTAATTCCAAAAATTTGAGTTTATCCTAAAAAATATAAGTAACACAATACTAAATTTTATTGGGCACTATAAGCAAATAATTTATTATGCTATCTGAGTTGTAAAGGGTGAATCAGAATTTTGTCAGACTATTCTCAAGCTATAGTTGTCATTTCATGGGTGCGTAGCTTTGACCATGTGTTTCTGTGGGTGCTCTTTTATATTTCCCAAACCTTATTTGTTGGATTGAATTAGCCAACTCATTAGATTTGTTAACTTCAGTAGAATGAAAGTGAAGAGTTCTTTTGGCCTATTAAGGAGGAGGAGGAAGAAAAAAAAAAAAAAAATATAGAATAGCTGTAGTAAATCAAGCTAATTACTCGATGAAAATTTTTGTATATAAATTTTTCAGTTACGGGAGGTCAAGTTAGGTCTTTTCCCCTTATACCCTTTTTGACCCAATGTTGAGTAAGGGTTCCAAACTCTTCCCCAAAAAAAAAACGAAAATACCAAACATCAATAAAAACTTAATTACTTACCCGAAATTTAATTTAAAAAGAAATTTCTGCAACTTTTTCGATTATTTCTAATTATCTAATATTTTTTTTTTGGAAGCTAAAAGTAACTATATTCAACCAAAAAGGAAAGGTGAACCAATACAAGCAAAGGAATACCCAAGAACAAAAGTAAAACACCTAACAAAAAGAATTCAAGGGGAAGTGAGTGTCACATACACTTACTTCCAAGTGAATCCCAATCAAGAAACAAAATGAATCATTCCACAATTAAACAAAACATTCAGGCAACAAATCCCAATGAAGGGCCAGCTGCAGATTAGTATTAGAAGGTCTAAACTTGATGGAAGTCATTCTGTTCTTGATAGCCAGATGGATATTCTTGGAAACAACATTAGCATAATTGCTTATGGCCCTGAATATCCTGTTATTTTTCTCCATCCAGAGGTGATAAACACAAGCAGCAAGACTTAGTCTCAGTAAGATTTTTGCCATAGATTTGCCCCTCCAGTTCGAAGCGGCTCATTCCACAAACTCACCCCAAGGTTTAGGCTGCATAGTAATACCAGACAAGGCAAGAATTGAGCTCCATACTCTTGCTGAATAAGGGCAATCAAAGAAAAGGAGGTGATGAGACTCTTCTGCCACTTCACATAAAGTACATGGAGTAACCAAGGTGTGTAGTAGAGGATTGAATTTTGTATAAGGTGCTCAGCATACAGGCAATGGCAAGCTAAAGAATGAAATTGTATCTAGGGACTGATTTGTTATTCCAAACCGGTTTATAACAACTAACAATAGAACCCTTTCTCCTTATAACCTCCCAAGTAGTATTGGCAGAGAATTTAGCATTAGCTGAAGGTAACCATTTCACCATATCATCCTTGGTGGGATTAGGTAAGTAGAAAGGCAGAGAGTATATAATAGCTTGAGTAGAAGGAGAGTTCCAATCAGAATATAGCCAACTATTGTTGGAAATAATAGATTTCATCTTACGATATCTCATCCCCTTAATCCCATGAATCTCCTCAAGTTTGCTGATTAGATTAAGAGGCCCTAGTGGATGCCTATTATCAAACCATAAGTTTGTATTGTTTGCATTCCCAATCATATGGACCAAGAAAGGTCTCATAAGATGTCTATCCTTGAGTAGATTAAGCCAATTCCAACTACAAGTCGTAGGTGCCTTCACATCCCATAGGCTCCTCTCTCTTAGATAGTAATAATGAATCCACATACCCCATAGATTTTGTTTATCAGTTAAGAGAAGCCATATATATCTCATCATCAATGCCTCATTACACATCTTGAAATTTCTAATACCCAAACCTCCCTCTTGCTTAGGCAAACATACCTTTTCCTAGTAAACTTTTGCACCATAACTCCACTGTATAGATCCTTTCCAAAGAAACCTCCTCATTAACTGCTCAATTTTATCAATAATATGTTGGCAAATATAAGTGTGATGTCTAGTAAGTCTGTATACTGCTGATAACAGATTGGATCAGTTGGAGTCTGCCAACATAGGACAGAGCTCTATCAAACCATGATCCCACTCTTTTCCATTTCTAACAAGAAATTCATTATAGTGGATAGACCTCACTTTGGAAGATATCAATGGAATGCTCAAGTAAGTAACTGGCAGTTGCCCTTCAGAAATCCTAGCAAATTTATAATTTGCTCCTTCATATTAGTTTGGATGCCACACATGAAAATATTACTCTTTGAATGATTGACATGCAAGCCAGACATAACATGGAATTGATCAAGAGCTTGCATAAGGACATTAACAGAAGTCAAGTCACCATGCCAGAATAACAGTAGATCATCAGAAAAGGAAAGCTGTGTGAGTTTAACCTTCTTGCATCTCCAATGATATTTAAATTCTTTGCACTCAATTTTTTTTTGTATCAGAAGGTCAAGAACTTCCATTGCAAGGACAAACAAGTATGGAGATAGGGGATTCCCCTGCCTGAGTCCTTTAGAGCTTTGGAAGAAACCCGCAAGCTCATCGTTAATATTAACAGAAAAAATTGGGGTAGAGATACATTGCCAAACCATCTTCCAAAGGTAGGAGGGAAATAGAATGCTTCCATAACATCCATTGAACACTGCTAATTTACGTAGTCAAAGGCCTTTTTCACTTTGACCGCACATTCTGGAGATCCAATGTTCCTATGATAGTCTCTCAATAATTCTTGAGAAAAAAAGATGTTATCACTTAATCTTATACTTGAAATAAAAGCAACCTGATTCTTGTTTATGAGTTTAGGTAGGACACATTTGAGTCTGGATGCAGAAAGCTTGGATATAGCCTTATACATTGTGTTACAGCAAGATATGGGCCTAAAATCATTCATGGAAAACAGATTAAGACACTTTGGAGCTAATGCAATAACGGTGGCATGATCTCTCAAAAAGTTACGGCACAATTGTTGAATGGTCGTAACTTCGCTGAGTGGTCACGCTCATTCCAGCTTTTCTTAGGCCGTGTAGGGAAGCTTGGTTGGCTGACGGGATCTCACCCAAAGCCAGCTGATGCCGACCCTGGATATTCTGC